TTTTTAAATGAAGTTATTGAGTGGCCTACTGACTACCATCCAAAAACCTTTATCACCAAATTTGTTCAGTGTTTGCTATTGGGAGATCATCCATATCCCTCCATAATTAAGGGCTAGCAAGTAATAGGATCTTCTTACAGCCAACCTTGCTGTTCCCAAAGGGAGAAAGTAATACGTCATTAACCTGGAATTGTGGTATAACAGGTAGCCTTGGTTAATGTTTTACCTTTTCACTATGTTAAAAAGAAAAAACAGTAAGCAAATAGTGCAAATAAAACTTGATCTTTTAAAGCATTTTAGCAGTTGCTATATATGTAAAAAGTTAATGGTTATTATTCCTAAATTTTCATAAGACCCTTGGTAGACAAAACTATCAGTTATAGTATGTATATATAAGGTTAGTTAAGCTGCATTTAGTTAGGAACATTTAATTTTTACCTAAATGATTCTTTTTTAATCCAAAAGTAGAGATTTTATTATGTCATTATAAATATTACTCTCCATTTAGTCCAAAATAGTGGGCTTTTTAAGTTGTGCCAGGTACTTAACAATAGTAAAAGCTACTGTATAGATTTTTATGCAATGTGACCTATAAGGCATAGTTCTGATTCCTTCTATATTGAATGTCCCTGTTTCCATATTAAGTGTTATGCCCTGTATAACATTAATGAATTTAATAGTGTACAATTTGGGGCCAGGCGTGGTGGCTCACACCTGTAATCCTGGCACTTTGGGAGGCAGAGGCAGGCAGATCACCTGAGGTCAGGAGTTTGAGATCCGCCTGGCCAACATGGCAAAATCATGTCTGTACTAAAAATACAAAAATTAGCCGGGTGTGGTGGCGCATGCCTGTAGTCACAGCTACTCAGGAGCCTGAGGCAGGAGAATCGCTTGAACCCAGGAGGCGGAGGTTGCAGTGAGCCGAGATTGCGCCATTGCACTCCAGCCTGGGTGACAGAGCAAGACTCGATATCCCAAAAAAAAATAAAAATAAAAAATTATGTGCAATTTTGTATTTTCATAGTCATATCTTTTTAAAGGTATCAGTGATTTCAGTTGTGGTCAGGAAGTATGTGCCTTAAATCCTCTACTCTAGACCCAAAGTTTGGAGACCTGTATTATTTAATAAGTTGTTTGTGACAACGTTGTTACCTTTTTCATTTGACTTGAGGGAAAAAGACTGTGATCCTGAAAGATTCCTTCTCATAAAATGGCCTAATGTGTATCAGTCTAGGACTTCTGGGGAGGGAACCTCTACCATGCATTCTGTCCCAGAATGTCAAAGCCATAAGAATCAGGGTCCCCTGAAATAAAATCACTGAAAAGATACGTTCTCTTATATATTATTTTAAAAATTTATCTGGTGCCACCAAAGAATGACAGCAGTTTCCAACCAACTTCATATTTATAGCATCATATGAAGATATTGTAAGGCTTAGCGTATTTTGCCACTGGTTTTCTTTGTAATATAGGTTGAAAGTGAGACATGTTTGAATACTTTTGTATGTGAATATCTCCCATTTTTCTATCTCTCTTGGTCTATATTTACTAATAATTGTTATTAAAAAAAACAGTTCACTAATGAACTCTGCATATTATTGAACACTCATAGGGCAATATTGATTTGGGTGCTACCAGACTTTTACCTAACATTAGTCTTTGTCAGTAGTTGTTGTAAAGGACAGTATTCAGTCCAGTAAATATTAAAGTGTATTATATTAGTTTAATGAAGGTTATTTATATACTGTCATACCACAAAACTATGGTGGAAAGAGCATCTGCATTCACCAGAATGTACTTGTTCCTTTGACTGTGAATAAATTGGATAAGACTTTTTAATTGTTAAGTTCCAGCTATTGGAAGATGTGGGGATAAGATTGACATTGCTGTTGCAGTATTGCAAAAACGACTAAATTGGTTAATTATGTCTACCACTTATGTTTAAGAGAATCCTTTCACTAACTTAAATTGTTAACATTGTGATATTGAGAAAGAGTGTTAACCTAAACAGTCACTTTACAACAATCATGTAAAGACGTGTGTGCTTGCAGTTGAGGTTTTTTTGCATTTCTGAGCCCACTTTGTATTCATGAGAAACAAAAACATAACGGGAGAAAAGTTTTAAATAACCAGCATTGTAAGTTTTTGTAAAGTTTGGGATGTCAAAGTATTAACGAAGGATACTGAAAACATACTTTTACTTTGGTCAAATTACTTTTTATGATCTGATTTCTTAATTTTCTGTATTTGAAATCTTGCGAATTTGGAGTATCTACATCTGTAGATAAATAGATAACTAAAACTTAATGGTAGAAATAAGTGTAATTCAGCAACATGATTCAACAGTTTTTATTTTTAGGATAAGTTACCATTTATTATATTAATATCAAATTTATGTATTGCCTTGTAATGCTAAATGTTCTTAAAAGAATATTTGGGCTACTTCAATTCTACCACCTTCTTTCCCTTCCCCCAGGACATACAAAAGATCTTATATTAGCCAATCCTCTATGTGAATTTTGCCATATCAAGCATTGTGCCTTATTTTAATAAAACTGTTTTGTTGGAATCCATTTCTATATTAAAGTCTCTATAATGTTGATATTTGCCTGATTACTTGTTATATCATTGAATACATACATTAAGTATGTACTAACATTGACTCTCTGTTCTAGATGCAATGGATAAGATAAATTAGACTTGTCTACTAGTCTTCCTTCTGCTTCCACAGTCTCAATAGACTTACGGATGCATGCTCTAATAAGAAATTGGTGACATCATCCTGCTGACTAAGGCCAGTTATTTCTTGCATTTAGTACAGAATCACACAGTCTTAACCCAGAGTAATATAGTTCTAACTGAGCACATTGACATAGCACTTCATATCAATATTTTATAGTGCCATTAGTTTGGTGACATTAGAATACCTAACATTTTTCTAGATTCCAGGATATGGAAAAATGCTGTGGTTATGAGCTGGTGTAAATAGAGTGGATAGCAAGGACATGTACTTTGTAAAACAGCTGATGTTTCAAATGTGCTAAGATGGAAGTAACTCAGCATTTCCCTGGTTAATATATAGGATGGTTTGGCTGTGTCGCCACCCAAATCTCATCTTGAATTGTAGCTTCCATAATCCCACGTGTGGTGGGAGGGACCCAGTGGGAGGTAATTGAATCATGGGGTGGGTTTTCCTATGCTATCCTTGTGATGGTGAGTAAGTCTCATGAGATCTGATGGTTGTGAAAAGGGCAGTTCTCCTGCACAAGCCTGCTGCCACATAAGACGTGCCTTTCCTCCTCCTCTGCTTTCCACCGTGATTGTGAGGCCTCCCCAGCCATGTGGAACTGTGAGTCCATTAAACCTCTTTTTCTTTATAAATTACTCAAGTCTTGGGTATTTCTTCATAGCAGTATGAAAATGGACTAACACAGATGACTTCTTGGCAAAGACGGCCCAAGAAATTTGAGGGAGAAGAGAAAACACATAGAGTGTAATTCTGATCTCTTTCCTTTTTTTTTGAGACGGAGTTTTGCTCTTGTTGCCCAGGCCGGAGTGCAATGAATGGTCTGATCTTGGCTCACTGCAGCCTCCGCCTCCCAGGTTCAAGTGATTCTTCTGCCTCAGCCTCCTGAGTAGCTGGGATTAGAGGCATGCACCACCACGTCCAGCTACTTTTGTATTTTTAGTAGAGACGGGGTTTCTCCAGGTTGGTCAGGCTGGTAGTGTTGGACTCCCGACCTCAGGTGATCCACCCACCTCAGCCGCCAAGCTGAGTGCAGTGGTGCAATCTCGGCTCACTGCAACCTCCACCTCCCAAGTTCAAGCGATTCTGCCTCAGCCTCCCAAGTAGCTGGGATTACAGGTATGTGCCACCAAGCCTGGCTAATTTTGTATTTTTAGTAGAGACGAGGTTACTCCACGTTGGTCAAGCTGGTCTCGAACTCCTGACCTCAGGTGATCTGCCCACCTCGACCTCCCAAAGTGCTAGGATTACAGGCATGAGCCACCGTGCACAGCTGAAGGAAGTATTTTCTAAGGTTCTGGTGATTTGTGCTAGCCATATTAGACGTGCAGATAACTTTTAAATTGTTTATGTCAGCAGAGAAGCATAGTGACATTAAGACGTGCGCTCATTACCCATTATATTATTTTTGTACCTTGGTCTGGCTCTAAAATCTTGCTGCTCTCACTTTCTCCCAATCCACAATTCTTCCCACAACTATAAACATCAAGGCACACAGGAGTTGTTAGGGACAAACTTCCCCAAGAAAGCTTCTTGGTGCTGCCCACCCTTCGCCCAAGTCTCTCTACATTTCTAAGCCCTTGTCTAGGTGCCGCAGTGAAGCCAGCAGACTTCACTTATCAGACCTTGCTGCAATAAGCAAACCCCAATTACAAACCATCTGGACCGCACAGGGGGAAGTCGTGGGAAGCATAAACTACGTACACCCTCCTGTAATAAATGTCACAAGGTGATATGTGGCAAAATTAACCAGCAAACAACCCCGGGATGTGGCTGTACCAAAGAGCTCCCTCAAACTTCCCTCCACAATATAAACCTCTCATTCTATAAGCTTGGGGCTGCCTCCTCTGTCTGTGGTGGAGCA